GTAAGTAGAGAGAACGGCCTGAATGCCAACGTGGTTACTAGCCACGACAGACAGATCCATGCCGCCACAGGACAGGTGAGTCTCCCTCCCCCTTATCTTTACCTGTGTTCCATGTCGTTATTAGTTTTTATTGTCGTTGTTGTGTATTGATGGCCGTGTGTTTGTTGCGTTTGTTTGTGTGTGTGTTTGTTTTTTTCTTCTTTTTATGATGTGCGGGGACGCTAGTTATGTTATTGTTGTTGTTTTCTGTTGCATTTTTGTTTTGTATTTGTTGTGAATTTCTTGTTTAGATAGTGTGGGGGTTCCACAATTTTTTCTCCACTTTTCCTCTTTCTTGTGCTCGTTTGTCAAGAGTCGAAACACGGAGTATTTGTCATTGTTGGAAAGACGCCTCTCCATCTGCTGTGTATGTTGTTGCTTTTTCCAGATTAGATGAATGGGAAGTGAATTGCACTTGATAAAAAGAGAATTATAGTAATGATAATAGAGCGGCGTGAGAGTGTCTGGCCGCCGCAATTTGTCTCCTGAGTTAGGCAGGAAGTAGTTGGGTGTTGCCGTCTCGAGGGGTTGACTTGACTTGCCAGACTTGCTCCTGTGGCTCCTGCCTCAGCTCTGGGGCCAGCGGGCGCTCCCTTTTCCTTTTATATTTTGGACGCTAGTTAAGGCAAACGTTCTTTCCCGGACACTGACTTGCGTTTGCTTGCACTCCCCCAACATACACACATGTACTTAGAGAGAGGGAGAGGGAGTGGGAAAAGGAGGGGGAAAGGGAATGGGAAAGGAATAGGGAGAGATAGAGAGTTGTTATCAGGGTCCTCCTATCCAATGGCCAAAATCTAGATGCATGTGTTGTATTACCCTTGCATTTGATTGTTGGTATTTTACGATTATACTATTGCTATTATTATTAATACCGATCACGTTTTCTGTTGTGTCGAAGAGATGACTCTTTTATGGATACCATGTCTTATATGTATTTGTTCGCATGTATATCTTTTCATACTCTCTCTCTCTCACTCTCTCTCTTAATCTCTTTCTATTTCTCTTTTTCTCTTTCTCTTTCTCTTTCTCCCTCTCTCCTCTTCTCTCCTCTCACTCTTCTCTCTCTCTTCTCCTTTCTCTCTTCTTGACATTGACTCACTCACTCACTCACTTTCTCTCTCTCTCTCTCTCTCTCTCTCTCTCTCTCTCTCTCTCTCTCTCTCTCTCTCTCTCTCCTCTCTCTCTCTCTCTCTCTCTCTCTCTCTCTCTCTCTCTCTCTCTCCTGCCTTCAGTCCTCTATAATACCCGAAGGAATACTAGCCTGAAGAGCCGTGGCGGGTCTCTCCAGGGTCCTTCCTCCCTGCGCACGGTGGCGGCCGTCTCGACTTCGTTCCGTCCCGTTGCGTTCCGGGCGGGCGGGCGGGCGGGCGAGGAGCGAGGGTGCGAGGATCACAGGCTTGAATGCACCTCGGCCACCTGTCTGTCTGCTGTCCCCGCGCTGCTCCTCGGCTCCCGCACACCTGCCTGAGAGGGTGTGCTCGCTATGGTGTGTCTCTCGGGTGCTCGTCTAGTCTCGCCGGGGTTTGTGTCCTGTTGGGTTGAAGGGCATGTTGATTTTGTTGTAGTTTTTTTTATTTTATTAATTATCAGTGTAATTAAAAGAAACGATTGAGTTACGTTGCTTACGTTGAGTTTTTTTTATAAATAATACATTTACTGATTTCTGTTAACATACTTCATACTGCAGCGTTGTAGAAATCGAATGTGAATAGTTTGTTGTAAAAATATATGGGAGTCCGATTTTACTTGGAAATGTTATCTTGATTATACACAATTTTACTTGATTTGTTTGCACCCTTCCTTACAACCTTTAGGGCAACCATTTTATAAACATCGCGACTAAATCAGCTGAGCCTGAAGTTCATAACCACGTAAAGTCTAGGTTCCGAGTAGAGCCTCTTCAAGGAGCGTGATCATGAAAGAGAAAGCTTCTAGATTACATAGGAAAAGCAAGAGGTAAAGGCATTGCAGTTGCCAACGCTGGTCTTCTCGAGGATTTCGGATTCCGTCACGAAAACAGCGTAGACCTGCACGAATCGAATGTATCATTATTTTACTTTTCTTGGAGACCAGAGGCATCAGCAGAACTCTGGCTCTCGATCACCTACCTTTAAAGAGTGGCCACTGTTCAAGAGCTGGTGAATGGTCGGGTAGAAGTAAAGTGCGAATCAGTGCCACAAGTCCGACCGTGGGCAGTGCGGGATTTTGCAAGATGGCAGAACCATTGTATAAAAATGGATGGCCTGTCATTAAACAAAGCGAATGCGATAGGTTTTGCAATCAGGAGCGCCCACAGAGACCACGAAATATCGAGGGAACATCAGTCATTGCCTTCCGAGTAAGCTGTATATATATATTTTTTTGTACTTCGGAACGAAACGGGTTTTTGTTTTTGATTTTCATTCTCCGTCCTTTTGTGACGACCATTTTTCGTCCCTAAAAGTTGAAATCGAGAAAATGTAAGATTATTGTAAACAGTTGCGTTTCCCAATCTCATCATGGGAGACAGGGCTTTTGACTCGAAAATCTTTTTCGCTCTGTTTAAAAAGTGAGTCTCCCAAATACATCATGGCTCTAATGAATCTTACTTTCTTTGTGTATATTAATGCTAATGAAAGCACATTAAATCTGATTTGCATTTGACATTAACCAGTGAGTTAATTCGCTGTTCCGATAAATGTTGCCGCTGAGTCCTGAACGGCATTGGGGTCAAAAGTCGTCGCGATTGTGTGAGCGCGTAAGATGATTATGTTGCACCGGATAATCTGAGACGCGGCTGATGCATGCTGTTGACCTTCATCTTTCTTCCACTCGATATTTCAGTTTCATTTCCTTGATTCCATTTCCTTGGTCCGTAATCCAAGTACTGTGTCCTGATTACGTCAGCCAGACACCTCTTGAACTCTGGCGCTCTACTTGAACATTGTGATGATGATGGTGATCTAACAAAAGCTTCCAAAGACCCGAAATGACACAGTGGCCCGTCCAGGACAATAGGGTGTTTTTATCGCGGCTTTGGACTCTAGGATATTGTCAGTGTTGAGACAGCTGTGAGTGCGCTACCCATAGAGCTATCGCTGTAGATCTCGTGGTAGACAGAGAAGTAGACAGACGGAGCAGTAGGAGACGCCAACAACGCAGGACTAGAGTTAGGAGAGACGCGAGAAAGGATACCTCTAGCCACTGACCAGGAAATTCATGACTTAATTTCGAGCGTGATATCTCCTTTAAGGGTGACGGCGAGGATATGACGATAGGCAAGGAAACCTGAGGTTGGGGAAGGACGGGTGTGTGGGGGATAGAGGAAGGGAGGAAGGAAGGAAGGAAGGAAGGAAGGGAAAGGAAGGAAGGAAGGAGAGGTGAAGGAAGGAACACAGTGTAAGGAGGGGGGGGGATGAGAGGAAAAGAGAGAGAGATTAAGAAGTGAAAGACAGGGATAGAGGATGAGAGGAAGGGCTGACATTGGAAGCTACAGTGAGAGAGGTACAAAAACACAGGGAAGGCGCGAGCGAATGAGTAAGAGAGAGAGAGAGAGAGAGAGAGAGAGAGAGAGAGAGAGAGAGAGAGAGAGAGAGAGAGAGAGAGAGAGAGAGAGAGAACGGAAATCGAAGGAGGAAGAGTGAGAGAAGCAAGCAAGAAAATACGCCAGAAGTGCTCAGCGGGAGAGGTCAGAGAGGACGAGTCTTGTTGATAGCACTAAAGATTGCCCCCGTGCATCATCATCTTGGCAAGGGCGTCTGTGGCTGGAAGACACACACGGCGTCTTGAAGTGTGAGAGTCAGGTGGCGGGGACGAGGCTGGCGGGGTGGAGGGAAGGGGAGGAGGGAATGATGCTGGTGAGGTGGAGGGAAGGGGAGGGGATGACGGGCTGGAGGGAAGGGGTAGGGGGGATAAGGCTGGCGGGCTGGAGGGAAGGGGTGGAGGGAATGAGGCTGGAGGGGTGGAGGGAAGGGATAGGAGGGATAAGACTAGTGAGGTGGAGGGAAGGGGAGGAGGGAATGAGGCTGGCGGGGTGGAGGGAAGGGGTAAGGGGGATAAGACTGGTGAGGTGGAGGGAAGGGGAGGAGGGAATGAGGCTGGCGGGGTGGAGGGAAGGGGTAAGGGGGATAAGACTGGTGAGGTGGAGGGAAGGGGAGGAGGGAATGAGGCTAGCGGGGTGGAGGGAAGGGGTAAGGGAGATAAGACTGGTGAGGTGGAGGGAAGGGGTGGAGGGAATGAGGCTGGCGGGGTGGAGGGAAGGGGAGGGGCTGACGGGCTGGGGCTGACGGGCTGGAGAGAAGGGGTAGGGGGAAATAGGCTGGTGAGGTGGAGGGAAGGGGAGGGGCTGGAGGGAAGGAGAATGATTGTTGAGCTGGACAGAAGGAGAATGAGACTGAGAGAGAGACTGGTAGGGTGGAGGGAATTGGAAGAGATGGAGGGAATGACACCAGTGGGATGGAGGGAGTTGGAAGGGCTGCTTGGATGGAGGGAAGGGGAGGAGGGGCTGGCGGGGTGGAGGGAAGGAGAATGAGGCTGATGGGGTAGAGGGAAGGAGAAAGGGAAATGAGGCTGGTGGGATGGAGGGAAGGGGGTGGGGCCGGGGCTGGGCGTGATAGTCGATGAGCTTGTCATGTTAAGGAACAGAATAAAAACTGGAATTGGGGAGGGTTGGGCCGCATAAGGCGACGCGGCGCGGATGGCTAGGGAAGGTGGCGTATTTGTGTATTCCCGTACGATGCTCCAGGGGACGGAGTGAGATGATCGTGTGTGTGTGTGTGTGTGTGTGTGTGTGTGTGTGTGTGTGTGTGTGTGTGTGTGTGTGTGTGTGTGTGTGTGTGTGTGTGTGTGTGTGTGTGTGTGTCTGTATCTGTGTCTGAGTCTGTATCTTTTGATGTGTGTTTTTATGCGAATGTTTGTGTACACACGAGCGAGTGTTTGTGTACATAGTGTACGCATGAGTCAGAGTGTAGACGTGCGAAAGAGAGGCGGAGGCGCTATGTGGATGCTGGAGGCACGGTCACGCCCCACGAGGAATCTCACGACCTCGGGGGCTA